GGCATGAACCCATGTGCCCTGCATCAGCAGGTGGACTCTCAACCACTGCACCACCAGGGAAGCACATGTGTTTGCTATTTTCTTTTAGTTTGCTTTCTATTTTTGTTTTCTTTTTCATTTTTTGTTCTTGTTCATTTCGTCCTTATTGACTATTCTCATTTTTTAATTCTTTTGTATGTTTGTTCTCTTGGGTTTTTTTATTTTATTTTATTTTTTCGGTGTGTGTGTATGTAGTGTTGTTATTGCTGCTGTTTGTTTGCCATTGTTTTTGCTATTTGTCTTGAGTTTTGTTTGTCTGTTGGTTTTCTTTTCTTTTCTTTCCTTTTACTCTGGCCACATTGTGAGCTTGCAGGCTCTTCATTCCTTGGCCAGTGGTTGGGTCTGAGCCTCCAGAGTGGAGCACCAAGTCCAGGACACTGGACTGCCAGAGAATTCCTGGCCCCAGGGAATATTATTCAGCATGCACACTTCTGGAGGAGTCCATATTAACATCAAGACCCAATCCCACACAACTGCCTTCAGACTCCAGCACAAGAAAACTCACACCAATCAACCAGCAAGACAGGAACACAGCCCTAGCCATCAGCAGACAGGCTGCCTAAAGTCATACTAAGCTCACAGACACTCCAAAACACACCACCTGACATGGCCCTGCCCTTCAGAGGGAAAAGACTCAGCTCCACCCACCAGAGTGCAGGTACCAGTCCCTCACACCAGGAAGCCTACACAAGCCCCTGGAGCAACCTCACTCACAAGAGGGCAGACAACAGAAGCAAGAGGAACTATGACCCTACAGCCTGCAGAAGGAGACCATAAACACAATAGGTTAGACAAAATGAAACAACAGAGAAATATGTTGCAGACAAAGGAGCAAGGTAAATCCCACAAGGCCAAATAAACAAAGAGGAAATGGGCAATCTACCTGAAAAAGAATTCAGAGTAATGACAGTAAAGACGTTCCAAGATCTCAGAAATAGAATGGAAGCATGGATCAAGAAGACAGAAGAAATGTTTAACAAGGACCTAGAAGAACTAAAGAACAAACAATGAGTGATGAACAACACAATAACTGAAATGAAAAATACACTAGAAGGAATCAACAGCAGAATAACTGGGGCAGAAGAACCAGTAAGTAAGCTGGAAGATAGAATGGTGGAAATAACTGCTGAGGAGCAGAATAAAGAAAAAAGAATGAAAGGTAATGAGCACAGTCTAAGAGACCTCTGGGACAATATTAAACAACCAACATTCACATTATAGGGGTACCAGAGGGAGAAGAGAAAGAACCTGAGAAAGTACTTGAAGAGATAATAGATGAAAACTTCCCTAACATGGGAAAGGAAACAGTCACCCAAGTCCAGGAAAGGCAGAGAGTCCCAGGCAAGATAAACCTAAGGAGGAACACACCGAGACACATAGTAATCAAATTGACAAAAATAAAAGATAAAGAAAAAATATTGAAAGCAACAAGAGAATAGCAACAAATAAAGTACAAAATAACGCTAACACGGTCATCAGGTGATTTCTCAGCAGAAACTCTGCAGACCAGAAGGGAGTGACATGATATATTCAAATTGACGAAAGGGAAAAACCTAAAACCAAGAATACTCTACCCAGCAACACTCTCATTCAGATTTGAAGGAGAAAGCAAAAGCTTTACAGACAAGCAAAAGGTAAGACAATTGAGCACCACCAATCCAGCTTTACAACAAATGCTAAAGGAACTTCTCTAGGCAGGAAACACAAGAGAAGGAAAAGACCTACAAGAAGAAACCCACAACAATTAAGAAAATGGTAATAGGAACATACATATCAATAATTACCTTAAATGTAAATGGATTAAATACTCCAAGCAAAAGACACAGACTAGCTGAATGGATCCAAAAACAATACCCATATATATGCTGTCTCCAAGAGACCCACTTCAGACCTAGGGACACACACAGACTGAAAGTGAGGGGATGGATAAAGATACTCCAAGCAAATTGGAATCAAAAGAAAGCTGGAGTAGCAATACTCATATCAGACAAAATCGACTTTAAAATAAAGACTATTACAAGAGACAAGGAAAGACACTACATAATGATCAAGGGATCAACCCAAGAGGAAGATAATTGTAAATATTTATGCAACCAACATAGGAGCACCTCAATACATAAAGCAAATGCTAACAGCCATAGAATGGGAAATCTACAGTAACACAATAATAGTGGGAGACATTAACACCCCACTTACACCGACTAACAGATCATCCGGACAGAAAATAAAAAAGGAAACACAAGTTTTAAATGACACAATATACCAAATAGACTTAATTGGTATTTATAGGACATTCCACACAAAAGTGACAGAATACACATTCTTCTCAAATGCTCATGGAACATTCTCCAGGATAGATCACATCTTGGTCAGCAATCAAACCTCTGTAAATTTAAGAAAATTGAAATTTTTTCAAGCATCTTTTCTGACCACAATGTTATAAGATTAGAAATAAATTACAGGAAAAACAAAAACTGTAAAAAATACCAATATATGGAAGCTAAACAATATGCTACTAAATAACCAAGAGATCACTGAAGAAATCAAAGAGGAAATCAAATTATACCCAGAAAAAAAATGAAAAAAAACACACAATGGCCCAAAACCTATGGGATGCAGCAAAAGCAGCTCAAAGAGGGAAGTTTATTGAAATACAATCCTACTACAAGAAACAAGAAAAAAGAAAAATCTCAAATAAACAACTGAATATTACACCTAAAGCAACTAGAGAAAGAAGAACAACAACAAAAAAAAACCTCAAAGATAGTAGAAGGAAAGAAATCCTAAAGATTACAGTAGAAATAAATGAAATAGAAATGAAGAAAACAACAGCAAAGATCAATAAAACTAAAAGCTGGTTCTTTGAGAAGATAAACAAAATTGATAAACCTTTGGGCTTCCCTGGTGGCGCAGTGCTTGAGAGTCCGCCTGCTGATGCAGGAGACGCGGGTTCGTGCCCCGTTTCAGGAGGATCCCACATGCCGCGGAGCGGCTGGGCCCGTGAGCCATGGCCGCTGAGCCTGCGCGTCCGGAGCCTGTGCTCCGCAGATGGGAGAGGCCGCAACAGTGAGAGGCCCGCATAACGCAAGGAAAAAAAAAAAAAAAAATTGATAAACCTTTACCCAGACTCATCAAGAAAAAAAGGGAGAGGACTCAAATCAATGAAATTAGAAATGAAAAAGAAGAATTTACAATGGATACCACAGAAATACAAAGGATCATAAGAGACTACTACAAGCAACTATATGCCAATAAAATGGATAACCTGGAAGAAATGGACAAATTCTTAGAAAAGTGCAACCTTCCAAGACTGAACCAGGAAGGAACAGAAAATATGATGAACAGACTAATCACAAGTACTGAAATTGAAATTGTGATTAATTATCTTCCAGCAAACAAAAGTCCAGGACCAGATGGCTTCACAGGCAAATTCTATCAAACATTTAGAGAAGAGCTAATACTTATCCTTCTCAAACTCTTCCAAAATTTAAGAGGGAGGAACACTCCCAAACTCATTCTACGAGGCCACCATCACCCTGAGAGCAAAACCAGACAAAGATGTCACAAAGAAAGAAAATTAGAGGCCAATATCACTGATGAACATAGACACAAAAATCCTCAACAAAATACTAGCAAACAGAATCCAACAACACATTAATGGGATCATACACCTTGAACAAGTGGAGTTTATCCCAGGGATGCAAGGATTCTTCAATATATGCAAATTGATCAATGTGATATACCATATTAAAAAGTTGAAGAATAAAAACCGTATGATCACCTCAAAAGATGCAGAAAAAGCTTTTGACAAAATTCAACACACATTTATGATAATAATAATTTTAAAAAAAGCTCCAGAAAGTGGGCACAGATGGAAACTACCTCAACGTAATAAAACCCATATACGGTATATGGCAAACCCAGAGCAAACATCATTCTCAATGGTGAAAAACTGAAAGCATTTCCTCTAAGATTAGGAACAGGACAAGGATGTCCACTCTCACCACTATTATTCAACACAGTTTAGGAAGTCCTAGCCACAGCAATCAGAGAAGAAAAAGAAATAAAATGAATCCAAATTGGAAAAGAAGAACAAAAACTGTCACTGTTTGCAGATGACATGATACTATACATAGAAAATTCTAAAGATGCTACTAGAAAACTACTAGAGCTAATCAATGATTTCAGTAAAGTTACAGGATGCAAAATTAATATACAGAAATCTCTGCATTCCTATACACAAACAATGAAAGATCGGAAAGAGAAATTAAGGAAACATTCCCATTTACCATTGCAACAAAAAGAATAAAATACCTAGGAGGCAAAAGACCTGTACTCAGAAAATTATGATACTGATGAAAGAAATCAAAGATAACACAAACAGATGGAGAGATATACCATGTTCTTTGATTGGAAGAATCAATTTTGTGAAAATGATTATGAAAATGATTATACTACCCAAAGCAATCTACAGATTCAATGCAATCCCTATCAAATTACCAATGGCATTCTTCACAGAACTAGAACAAAACATTTTAAAATTTGTATGGAAACACAAAAGACCCCGAATAGCCAAAGCAATCTTGAGAAAGAAAAACGGAGCTGGAGGAATCAGGCTCCCTGACTTCAGACTATACTACAAAGCTACAGGAATCAAGACAGTATGGTACTGGCATTAAAACAGAAATATAGATCAATGGAACAGGACAGAAATCCCAGAGATAAACCCACGTACCTATGGTCACCTAGTCTATGACAAAGAAAGCAAAAATATCCAATGGAGAAAAGACAGCCTCTTCTATAAGTGGTGCTGCAAAAATTGAATAGGTACATGTAAAAGAATGAAATTAGAACACTCCCTAACACCATACCTAAAAATAAACTCAAAATGGATTAAAGGCCAGACACTATAAAACTCTTAGAGGAAAACATAGGCAGTCTCGAGCCTCCACAGGTCTTACTTGGAAAGAATTCACACTTGGTTGCCTCATGCTTGATTGTCTCCTGCCTGTTTGGCTCATGCCTGTTTGTCTTATGCCTGATTGTCTTGGGCCTGGTTGACTTGTGTTGGATTGGCTCGGGCATGGTTGCCTCATGCCTTGTTGATTCGTGCTGGATTGGCTTGGGCATGTTTGCCTTATACCTGGTTCACTCATGCTGGATTTGCTTGGGTCTGGTTGCAGTTGACTCATGCCTGATTGACTCAGGCCTGGCTGACTTGTGCCTGATTGGGTCATGCTTGATTGGCTCACGACTGTTTGCCTCATGCCTAGTTGACTCAGGCTTGCATGCATGTGCCAGGTTGCCTCATGCTTATTTGGCACAGGCCTAGTTGCCTCATGCCTGGTTGACCCAGTTGGTTAGTGTCAGGTTGGCTTGTACTTGGCTGGTTCATGTCCAATTGGTTCATACCAAGTAAGATCGTGCCTGGTTGGTTCATGTCTGGTAAGCTTGATTGATTCATACCCAGTTGATTCGTGTCTGGTTGGCTGAGGGCTATTTGGTTTAGAACTAGTTGGTGGATGATGGGTTGGCAGACAACTGGTTGGCCAATGACTAATTGCCTTCATGTAACAGGGTCCCTTAACTACAGTGCTGTGGTGGGAGGCTGTAGGATGTTTCTATATTTTCTCAACTTGATTCATTCTTTGAGATACCCTTCTATCAAGATGAGAATGGGAAAAATAAATGAGTGCTACCTAAAGAAGATTATTGATGCCTCCGATTTGCTGGAGTTGACCTCACCAGCTATCACAGCTGTAGGCTTGGCTGGGTTTCAGGCCTTTCCCTGTCAACAGGCTGGTAGTGAGGGGAAGAAGAAAATGACCCTGGGAGAGTATTACTTCTTCACCACCTTGCACCATCACTGCATCACAGTGATGAAGTCACAGTGCCCTTATTTACGTAAGTGCTCCCCCACGTGGTGGGGGAGGGGCGAGGCAGGGGCCGCTACACCACTTTATTTCCTCCTCCCAAGAGCTTAAGAGGCTGAAGCAAAAAGCTGGGAGGAATCTCAGAGCATATGCTTGACACCCTAAGAGTGTCCACTGTTTTAACCAACAAATGTAAGGATATTTGCCCTAACCCGTTCTGTTTTCCCCATTCCCCAGCCCTGAAATAATTCACTTCCTATTTCTGTTCTGACTTCCACTTATTACATTTTCCCCACACCATAGAAAGTAGAATGCTTAAAAGGGTTCTCCTATTGAGGTGCTCAAGTCCCTAATGAAGAAAATATTTGTTTAAAAATAATTAAGAATAACTATGACTACTATTTATTGAGTTATTTTATGACCTAGGTTCAGTGGGAGGCACTTTGCATTTTGTCATTCAATCCCACAGCAACCTTATTATTCCCAGTTCTAAGGAAACTGATTCATAAGATTTGGCAACCTAACCAAGACCTGAACAGTTGGCAAAGAGCCTGAATTCAGACCCACGTCTATCTGATTCCAACTCCAGGGTTTTACCATCACACTATCCTGTCCCTTACACATGCTATGCTTATTCTCTACCCCCCACATCTGTAAGATCAGGTATATTGTCCATTCACCCCATCCCCCCTTGCAGAATTCCTTCTCCCATCTTTTTATCTGTTTACTCACTTCCTCAACAATGTATATTGTTTAACTGGTGCTAATATTGTTGTAAATGGAGTGTCTTTTATTTTCTAAACATACCAGAAAACATTGGTTGAAGCTGTGAAGTCTCACACTTTGCGAAAAGGTCTTCAGGTATGCATAACTTATTTAATCATCAAAGCAACCCTGTGAGATATATACTCTTGTTCCCCATTTTTATCAATAAAGAAACTGGAACTTAGAGAGATTAATTTTCCAAAATCTAATACATGCCAGAATGGGGAGAGTCCAAGGCCCATCCCATAGATGGAAGACTCGAATAGAACTAAAGAGTACAATCACCATTTTGCCTATACTGGCTATAAATGAAAACTAGAGAGCCCACCTTCTTAGCATGACAGACAAATCAAGTCACATCGCAGAACTATGCCAAACCCAACACAAATAAGATGTAGATATATTCCTGATCTTGATCGACCTGTAATAACAATGAGAGCTAAAATTTTATGAATGCTTCCTGTGGTGTTAGGCATGGTTCTAAGGAGCAATTTACTTATATTAGCTCACTTAATGCTCACAATAATCCAGTGAGGTAGATTATATTATTATGTTCATTTTTCAAGTAAAGGAACTGAGATTCAGAGAGGTTAGGTAACTTGATTTAAGTCACACAACTGAAACTCCAGACAAAATAAGGAAAACCCAGTTCTCATTTTGACTTTTCTGAAATGCCAGAAAAGAGGTGAAGGAATTTTGCTGTTTGCTTTACAAAATCAAATCACTTTCATAATTTATTTGGGGATGAATGATGTTGCTTTTTTGCTTTATAAGAGGAGGAGACATGTGTTAGGTTTCTGGCTGATGCCTTAAAGGGGTAAAATTAGAAATTATAGTTTAGTGATCTAGAATTGTTAACAAGTTTCTTTTGTACTTTGGCTCATGAACTTTCCATCACTTGAAGGTGATTTAGGTGTTAGTTTTTTTTCATTTTTAATGTTTTTTTTTTTACATTATACAATGGTGATTTTAAGGGGACACACGAAAATGCATATTCTTGCTCACAGTTACTTATTAACACAACTTGTTCCATCTTAGAAACAGAATGAGACTGTCTCCATCAGCCATGCAAATTATCTCCACACTATAACTGGTATATTATCAGGGAAAAAATAGTTTTTTGCAATATTTAAACAAAAGCATCAATAATAAGTCTTTGCCACAAGGTAGAAATGTAATCCAGTTTAGAAACAAAGTCTAAATGATAAACATTGCAACCTTGTTTATATTTAATAAAGGTGTACATATTATTTAAATTTCAAGTTTTTATCATTTCCAGATATTATCAGAAATTTTCTAAAATATAATTTTAGTCTTAACATACAAATCTTTTATTACAGATCTAGTCTAGGTGGTAAATTTTGTAAGCCAATACCTGCCAAATTCTAAGAATTCAAAATGTGTGTTCATGATCTGCTCTACCAAAATGTTTTTAATTTAGTATGATGTATAATCCATCTCCCATAGGTCTAAAAACATGGGTATGTTTATGCACTTAAACTCTAATTACTACAATACATTAGGCCCCCTTTTCTGAAGATGCTATGTAAAATCCAGCATTCGGAATTCTGACCCCAGCTTGGTTTCATCTAAATGAATATTCACAATTGAGAAAGACATTTATATAATTTTCATCTATAGCAAGCAGACAAATTTGTTGGAATCTCCCTGTACCTCAGAGCCCATCTTTTTCCTGTCCCTTTTAAGTTCACAAGCTTTTTATTTTTACCCCTGTAAGATGCAAACAAACAAAAAGAAAGAAAAAGAAAAAGCAGGAGGTGGGGAGTGGGGTGAGAAAGCACTTAAGGCAAGGAGAACAGAACTAACATATGGGGATATTTTCTGAAATGAAAACTTAAGACATTCATCAATTAAAAGATTAATATTTTATAATATTTGCTGTATTTTATTTTATTAAGAATACATGCTCATTGTAAAACATTTGGAAAATATCTGTAACAGACAAAAAATTACCTCTAGATTTTGCACTGGTTAAAATTGAGCACATCCAAGAATATGAATTTTCTTCCTTTCCAGATATTATCAGCAAATTTCCAATTAAGAGAAAATCATGACTTTGCTTATGCTGTCTCTTTGCTTAGCTAAGGGTGTAGATCATGGGTGCATGGCTTTTTTGTTTAGAAAAGTTCCCCAACAGTAACCTTATGTGAAAGGAAAGATGGGTCCAGCCAGAGCCTAGTCTGGGATGAGGCCTGAGAATTAGATTTCTTTGCACATAAAAAGAAGAACTTGGTTTTTTTTCCAGGGAGCAATCTGGAGAAAGAGGCTGGGTGTTTCAGGAACTAGGAAAATAGAGATTAAATGGAAATGAAGAATTCTTGGCTTGAAGAGCAGTACCTGGCCAAACGGTGGTAGGCTAAGGTCTAGGGCACAAGATAGCCACTAAATGTTCTCTTTAAGATATCAGTATTCAGTTTTAAATTGTCTCCTATTAGATGCTGTATGGAAAAAACACTTACCAGTAATTTAGTGAAAGTCAGTAGACTAGCCTTGGTGGTTTGGGGCCATGAAAATGGAGAGATGAAGGCTACATGCCTGACAGGTGCTGAAAGAAGACAGCAGCTGCAGGAGTTGAACCCAGGGACTGGGAAAACTGAAGTTTGGACTAATTCATGAACAGGTATCTAAGAAGGTTACCCTAGAGGAAGAGGGGTGGGTAGCGAGCATAGACCCTGCCGTTACCTAGGGTAGGAACACAAGACATTTGGTTATTACAGGAATAAATGGCTCCAGAAGACTGGGAGACATTTGGGTTACCTAAGAAATGCATAAAATAGAAATTAAAAATCTCTCAGAGTCCTATCTGTACATAACCATTTTTTACATTTCAATGATTCAAAACTATCTTTTGTCTCTCTCTCTCTCCCTCTCTCTCTCTCTCTCTCTCTCTCTCTCTCTCTCTCTCTCTCCCTCTCTCTTTCTCTCTCTCTCTCTCTCTATATATATATATATAATTTTTTAAATAAAATTGACATCATAGTAACTGTCTTTCTTTACTTAACAATGTATTATTAGTCTTCCCCAGCTGCTATAGCATAACATATAACATTTTCAAAAATTTGTTATCATTCAACAAATCTTTATTAAACACCAACCATGTGCCAAATTGTTTGAGCCCTGCATTTATCAAGTGTCAGGTACTATGGCACATGTTTTATATACATAATCCTCACAGTGAGGTAGGCACAATGATCCCAGTTTCATAGAAAAGGAAATTGAGGCTTAGAGAAGTTAACCTGCCTGATATTGCACAACTTGGGAATGGTTTAGTCAAGATTCAAACTCAGGACTAGTGTGACCTCCTGAGCCCACTGCTCTGAACCAGATGCATAGTCACTTCACTCTTCATGTATATGCTTTCTTTTATTTAATCAACCTCATATTTGATGTGCATTTTAATTGTTTCCAGTTTTGTGGTATCAAACAACTTTCTAGTGAACATATTTATGCAATAAGTTTTTAAAATAAATTTCACTTTAGATATTCTGGAAAGGGCTTCCCTGGTGGCACAGTGGTTGAGAGTCCACCTGCCGATGCAGCGGACACGGGTTCGTGCCCCGGTCCGGGAAGATCCCACA